ATGTGATATCAAAACAGATTGTTGCTGGGTTACGATTAGTATTTGGCGTTTAATTTCGGAGTATGAAATTCGTTTGTTTGGAGGACTGCTTCCCTGAAGAAAGTCAGGCCGAATTACTGAAAAGTTCAAATTTTGGGGTCAAGCATACATTTCAGAAAGTGAAAAGAGGGGAAAAGGAAAACTGAATCATTTCGAGAGATGGTTTCTTTACGTTCCCTCTTTGTCTTTGTGATCATTGGTGATCAGATGATAGTAGCTACTGCAGTTTAGCCATAATCATGTAAATGCATCTGATGTTGCCATTAGCTCAGCCCCAATTGAAGATCATTAGATAATATCATCATTGGAGATGAGTGTTTCCTATTCCTGTATTCCCAGGTTTCTTAATCCATCATTCTGTCGTTCTTTGCATCATCTGCCATCTTGTTATTTCAGTATAGGGTCAAATTCTTTGGTATGTCATGTGTTTATTGACTAAATTCTTTGCAACACAGATAAATGGGCTTGTGGACACTGCTAGAGGGCTGTCTGCTACTTGCCAATGCTCTAGCGATTCTAAACGAAGATCGTTTTCTTGCTCCTCGAGGGTGGAGCTTCTCAGACTTCTCAGGAGGAAGAACAAAGTCATTCAAAGGGCAGCTTATAGGGCTCACCTATGCAACGCAATACTTGAGAGTTCCTCTCATAATGCTCAATTCCATCTGCATCTTTTTGAAATTGGTATCGGGATGACGAGAACAGTCGGGGCAAGGTTTGCACTTCAATTCTGAGGAAGTTTTTCTGGTGCATTGTTCTTGATTAAGCAGGACCTTTGTTGATCTAAATGTAACAAAAGGATACATGAGATAACTATAACCACATTTGAAGTTAGAATCAGGCATTTTCCAAAGCGGCTTTTGTTGATGTGCTACTGTTTTTCCCCCATTGGAGTGATTGTTGTTCATGAGTTCATTTCCTAAAATTCGTTTCTATCTTTCTAAAGAAAATGAGCTGCTTCTAAAGGTTGGAATTGTCTTCTTATCTTTTGAAATATCGTGAAAATATAAGATAATAAAATGTTACCAATACCAATCAGGGAATAAATTATCTTTCGTTATGTCAGTACTGTCATAAATCTCAACATTTCCATCGGTGTCTATAGCTATAGAAGTAAATATAAGATAACAAAATATTACCAATACATTTTCTGCAATTGTATAATCCTGTAGGCTGCAGCAGATTGAATGGCTATAGTATTAACTAAAGCACAAATTAAACCGTTTAAAGAAGTAGAACACCCTCAATTTGACCAAAATATCATAAAGCACAGATCAATTTTGAGGATTTAGGTTCATCTTCATCATAAGAAGCAAGCAAAAAGGCCCAACAACAGGCACAGAAAAAATATGGATGACAAACATAAGATTGCAACGAAATTTTGTCCAAAACAAGAACACACAGCCAAATCCTAAACCTCGTTGTCTGATTCTTAAACACATTTTTAACTGCTGGCACCTTCCATGAACTGAATTAATCTCCACAACCTTCCTTCATCCTCTCGTGCTGACATCTTTCAATCCCTCCTCTACAACCACTACACTAACCTTTTGGTACTGGAAATCCACAGATTGGGGCTCCGCCGCAAAGATGGCGTTTCTATTGGCCGCAATTACCCACATGAACAGCACCACAAACGCCATTAACGCCCCACAACCGGTTGCGAAGATCAGCCCAGCAAATATCGTAAGAGGCAGAAGATGATTCTTCTGCAACTCCTCGCCCTGTTTCTCAGAACGCCGCTGTGGATCCACCGGCAGCGAATGCATCCCCTTGGGGATATTTCTGAGACCGAACCGCCACGAGAAAACTCTGCTCCACTGAGATGGCTTGCTATTCCACGAGCTTAATCCCACAAATACTTCCTCCCCCTCGCATTTACTCGCCAGATCAATTGGGTACGCAAATGAGGGATCGTAAGGCCGCGAATCCCCAAATTTACTCAACCTGATTTCTACCATTTTGGAGCTCGAATCGAAATCGACCCACGATGTCAATTTTCCCCCAATGGTCGGAACGAGAACCCCCCTCTCCGTCTTCAGATACCCTCCACTCAAATTACTCACATTGGCGGAGACAAATTCGATGGCATGAATCCACTTTTCCCGGGAGAGCTCAAAGCTTCCGGGGAAGAGCGAAAGAACGAGGCCATCCCCGTTGTCCGGCGAGACCCAGAACGCGAATTGGGTAGAAAACGACGACGAATCATGAAGCCTCAAGGGTTTAGCGTTGAGTACAAGGCCGAAGCTGGATGCGACGGGGCGGGTTAACTTGACGAAAGAATCGTCGGCGTCGGCGTCGGCGTGGACGACCGCGGCGTCTCCGATGAGGGCAACGTGGGGATCGAAATTGGGGTTGTTGGAGAGGGTTGGAAGCGTGAATGAGGAAACGGGGTGGAGAAAGTAGTAAAAGAAGAGGAAGATTAGGAGGTGAGAAGGCAAATTAACCATTATTCCGCACAAGTTGAGTGGTGGAGCAGATCTGTGTTCCACTGTAAGAACAACATTCACGGGATTCAGCTACATAAGCTCGCGTCTTTCTTCTTCTTCTTTCTTCTTTCTTCTTTCTTCTTTCTTTATTTGTCGTCTGTTTTTCTCCAATCTCTTCTCGGTTTTTCAGGGCGGGGAATGCTAATTTGGGTGGTTTTACTTTTACCACGTCTAATCTTTGACCTTCCGTCCTCTTCAAACGACGTCGTAGGAAGATTAATTTTTTTCCTTTTCGTAAAATTACCATTTCAGTCCTTTAATTCTAATTTGGCTTATATAAGGTGTAATGAGCTATTAGTATAAAATATATATGTGAAAATAAAAGTACCTGAATTTTTAAGCCCAAGTTGGATAAGATAGGAATAGTTTGTGCATAAAAGAAGTGGGTTTCTTCTCACATATACATCTAAATTAAACTTGAAGATGGAACTCCTTCCTTCTTTTTTCGACAGTGAAGTAAGACTAAGCTCATGAACTTATTATCGTAGGTCAAATGTCTCATGTATAATACAAGGAAAATTTATGTATGGTATGGTATTTTAGTAATAAAATTTTAATAATTATGTTAACTAACTTGAAATTAAATAAAAAAAAACCCGAAGTGAAATGACTAAAATGGTAATTTGGTTAACTTTTATAAAGGAATACTGAAATAAAAAACGTGTAGAACATTTTTCTTTTCTTTTTGAAAACTTCTGGGGTGAGTTCATGATTCCTAAAATCTAGACAAAACAATAATTCTCTACCATAAAATTGTACTTGGATCCAAACAGATTTTGCCATCTTTCTTAAATTTCTCGAAAGAACCCAATTGCTGCTGCTTCTTATCCACAAGTGGCGAGAAATAAATCTTGAAGAATTTATCATAAATATTGATTCAAATTGATTCGGTGACATTTTAAATAATTGAAGAATAAGCTAATAAAAATAAGATGTCCAATTGGTGATATCAAACCTTTTCAATGAATACTATTCTATATTAAAAAAAAAAAAACAATATCATTATCCATATCATAGGTTACCCTATAATTTTTTCATTTATAGTTGTTTTATAAAAATATAAACATCTATTTAGCCTCTCTAAATTTAACACAATATTTTATAGAAATCCAAACTCACGATATTTTGATCGAAAATAAATGTCTTAACTAATTGCGGTAAATCAACCTATCAAATCATCAAAATACAAATTTATTGGGGTATTATGATTAAGATCGTGAAATAGTACATTGAACAGAATTTATTTGAACTGAATAATTGCGGAGTATTTTACTTTTTAAAAAAATTATTATGAAAGTATCCATAATTAAAGGGGTTGGGTAAAAAGTCCAAGTACAAATATGGCACGGCCCAAGTCCAGTGAACCCAAAAACCTATTCATTTTAGTTTTTCAAAGTTTCCCATATTTTATTTTGGTCCGGTCCGAGTTTTTTATATATTTATTTCAGCATCCGAATTGAAAAAGAAAAAACAAATTTCCATTTCACTCACTATTATTATTCACCAGTCAACTTCTATATCCCATTTTAACACCTACCCCAACTACTTTAATACATACATATACAGTTCGAAGACACGTCATTTATTTGTAAGTAATTTAATACAAAATGGCTAGAGAACTAAAATGATTGTTTTAGTTGTAAAAAACAACCCCTTTAAAATTTTAAATATCAAATTTTTTTTATTGTCTGGTGTGCATGAGCACGAAGCATATATCATCACAAGTAGATGTACATTTGATCCACTGGCTAATATTAATTATTAAAATTACCTTTAGTTTAGTGGCAGTTACATGTGTCAGTCCCAGTCCTGATTCACGACTGTATTCGAATTTGCACTTGAACACTTTTATTTGACCGCTCGTCTCAAATAGAGCTCAGCTATAGATCATAATTAGGGTTACAAAGAAAACAATAAATACAATTTTCTTTGCTCTCTTCCTTTTAGTTCAAAACTATAATATTTAGGAAAGTAAATAATATGTTTACAATGGAGGGTTTTGCATCATTGAAGACTCAAAAAGTAAGGTCACATTTAAAATGGGATTTGAACGGATTTTAGGGATACATGAGATTGCATAGATAGAAGAGACGCGATTATACGATGATTTTTATAAGAATAATAAGAGAGAGAGAGAGAGAGAGAGAGAGGCATTAATGGGATTTAAAAGTGATTGTCTTCTCACATGATGCTTCTGATTCCTTTGCCTTCGGGACGCTTAGCTCGAGGACTAAAGTGGGAAACCAAGAAAAAAGTCCCAATTTTTACCTTACAAATCTACTAATCCAATTATACACAAAACCCCCTCGTGAGGTTGAAACTCTTATACCCTCAAGCTTCCTTTTAAAAATAAAAGGGTATTATTTGTAAATAAATAAATATTAAAATACTATTTTAGTTATTCGATTTTGGTTCATATATTTTTAAAATATTTATTTTGATTTTTTATTTCAATTTTGGTTTCAAAATATTTATGTTTGACCCAATACATTTATTGAAATGTAACAATGATCTTATACTAAAAGATTTTAATTATGTATAGAATTTGTGTTAAAAATTTACAAACAAAGACTATAATGATTGCTTTTCAAGAGTACAATAACCAAAACAAATATTTTAAAGGTACGCAAATAACTAAAATCATTTAAAATAAATAGATGAAACAATTTTATATTTATATATTTTTCTCCGAAGGAAATGAAACAAATATTGATTGGTCAATCAATCACCCTCTTTATAATTCTTCCCAACTGCCTTGGATTCGTCTAAAAATTTAACTCCTTGAAACTTGAAAACATGTGCCTTTTTCTACCCTCACTCTCTTCAGCCAACCATCTCTTTATTACCCAGAAAAAAAAATGTAATTAACGGATGATTATAATCATGAATATAATCAATCACTTAATATAATCTTATAATTTACTTGGTACTTGTTAGTCAACAGCTAGAGCTAGCTATGAAGTAGCATCAAATCAACTTTCCGCATCTGATCTTTAATGACCTGTTAATGATAATTAAACCCCAAATATGCCTTATGGAATTTTCCATTAAATTAATATCTCCAAAAAAAGCAACACACCCCACATCCACATGCGCCACCCACAGATTCCTCTCGTAAAATCTCCATTCTTCAGATCTTTGTGAATTTCAAACTTCATTTCGTATCAAAAAAAATTAATTCATAACGAAGACACAAGAAATTGTAACTGTTTTAATTTGGAAATAATTCATGCAAGCAAGAACAAGGAAGAGCTTAGCTAGCTTACTGATATAATTAAATCGAAGAAACGGTGGCGCTCCGTCGTGAGAAAACTTCCGGCACGGCGGCGGCGAGGAAGAAAGCTACACTGCAGGAGGAATCCAAAGAGATGGCATGATCCAAATTTCATAAAATAATTTAATTACACGAAACTGGGATCAATGCGATCCCTTTGGATGCTCCCTGAAGTTGCAGTAAATTAAATCAAATCCTACGAACAGATCAACAAAAACACCTTCACAAATCCCTCTCTCTACTTTCTCTCTCTAGATATCTCTGTGAGAGGAATATGTTATTGAGGGAGACGCGGCTATGGAGATTTATAAAAGACGATGAAATGATGCTGCAGCTTTGACCAGATTTCTTGGTGGTTTTTTTTTTTATTTTTATTTTTTAATTTAAATTTTGTAATGTTTTGCTTTAGATTTTGGAAAATGAATGTGGAATATATTTAAAAGGAATGGGAACTTAAATAGCAATTATAACGCACACCACATTCAACACATGAAAGGGGGGGTTTTATATCAGAAAGTGGGTCACCTTACACTTACATTTTTCCCCCTTTAGAATTTCTTCTCTTCTTCACGAATTAAAGTTAGGTCTTTTTTTTTTCATTTTATTATATTCTTTATTCTTTTTAATTTTCAAGGGTTTGTGTGGCCCATTTTTTGTTCCCTTTCTCTGTATTTTACTCACCATCATTACGTTTAGATTAGTTTCTTCCTATTATATTTTACTTTTGTATTATTTTTTAGTTATGGTTAGATTTTGTGGTTCTTAAAAAGCCTAATTTCGTGATAAACGAATATTAGTATCAAAATTTTTAATAGTTTTTTAAGGACTTTTAGGACTGCTTCTCGAAAAACAATTTTTTATTTTATCCTTTGAGATAACCCTTTTTTYCGTCTCAAGGAGTGAAATTTAATAARTTGTTTACTTGGAGTGAGGTGTAAAAATAAAAGTCGTACCAACCTGAAGAGATTCTCTCAATAAATAAGAGAAAATGTCTAAAGCAAGATACGTCCTACACAATTTAATCGGCTGAAATTAACGTATCTCTTGTGTGTGCAAATGTTTGTCTTGAATATTGTAAAAATTTAGAAAATAAAACTAATGGGAGATTTTGTATTATATTAGTTACATAAATATTAACCGTATACTTGACTTTGTAAGATTATACAGTTGGTTGTTGGCCTACTAATTACKTGCACTTCGTAACACCCCCGCAAATGGGAGGATGGAAAAAACGGCTCGAGTTTGGAATGCATCGGCAAATGGAACATATCGAACATCAAGRCGGTTATTAAGGRTAATATATGAAGAGCTCCAAATCCTTACAAACTTTTTAATTATGAGTTGGATGGTGTACAAAATGACTTCCACCCATTATTATTTATTTTATATTTTATAAAATAGTTAACTAAATATATTTTCTGGGATTTTAATATTAAAATGTAGAAATATTGTTTTTAGATTTATATTTTATTTATATAGGATTTTTTTACTTTCAACYTATAATTTCTTAATTGTAGATATGTGTCTTAACTTTGAGGTCTCTAATTCAAATAATTGATAATTAATCAAGTTATCAATGACAAATTATGAATACTCCATAGTATATGATTTTGGATGATGGTATGATTTTAGTAGATATAATAAAAATAAATAATAGAAAGGAAAAATGGTGAAGAAGCAGCACCAGCATTGTATTGATTAGTGCGAAGGTTGGATGATGATGTGGTGCAAAATGTTGTCGCAAATATGGGCCAACAGGCGCCCACATTGCAGCCTTTTCTTTTGGTGCTATCTAGACCCCACCACACTTGATTTTTCCCCTCTCCCCCTACCATCATGCTCATGCATA